TCCAGTGGCCATATTGTAATTTTTTATGCGTTTAGGTAGAATTTCATAGCACTCATTAGCTACTTTCGTAATAATCATCGTAATCCATTATTTTCGTGACTATTGACCTTAATCATCAAAGTCCGTTTCGACGGACAGGACCGGGAATCCTCCTTTCAAGACTTGGCCTATTCAGGCAGATGAAAACATCCCCCTTGCGACTCATTTCCCCCATATTTCGCGAGTCCGGAAATGAGAGGAATATGGTGAATGCAGGTTTCTTTTCCGTTTTGACTTTTCCGCGGGAGATCACAACGTTCCTCTTTCTCATAGATAGCCGAGAGAAGGCGAGCGAAGTTCATTTTAAGTAATTGCAATACACATGACGCTAATAAATCCAAGATTGATGATGCGAGCCACTTGTGCACACCATGGCCATCAATTGAATTTTGCCGAAACCTTACCGACCTCTCCAGAGAAGGGCTTACTAGAACCGGTCGAGATCCGGGAGATTCATTTCTGCTTCATCGCGAATATACATCCTGAATAGCTTGCGGTTGCGTCCTCGTGGGTACCGTTTGTGGTTATATCCTCGCAAAAAAGGCGATGTAACTTGGGGGGAGGGGGGGGGCTACCATGAAGCATCTGTCTCGGCCGCCATGAGAGGAACCGTCCACGAAAAATAAATTCCTGTCCGTCCCTGAAATCGCGAAATGGATTTCGGATCCGTTGGGGTCTGCTTCCTCCCGATCAACGTGAAAGGATGTAGACGGCCGAATGGAGATCGTTCCACCTTCATCGTCGTCTTCATTTTGCATGTAGATGGGCTGCAACGACATATTTTCGTGTGTTTTTCTTTTAGCACCAGCATGCAGAGGCGAGAAGAATATTTCAAACCTGAGGATCTCGGTTGCTTTGCAATCGAGGTCCGGAGGTTAAACATATAGCGTGCGCGATCTTGCCTGCTACCTAGGCCGAGCGACAATTGTTTGTTTGTTTGTGTGTGTGTGTGTATTTGACAGCTCTACAGGCCAAACACTTCGAGATTGGAATTTGGGTTTCAACAGAACTCATCCTTACCATCCGAGCATGTGCCTGTTTGAAATGAAATTTCCAAATCGGCATCACGAAAGGGAGGGGAGGAAACTTTCATGGAAATTCGCTGTTTTGCTCTCGTCTCGCCATCTCTCGGATAAACGAGAAGACGAGAGTTGCATATTTATTCGCAAGGGAGCGGTAGCACCGCTCACTGCAGTGTCTAGCGTCTGCTGCCGGAAATACTGGGATATTAAGGAAAGACGGAGCGCGCGAGTCCATCAAAGGTTTTATTGTTTTTCCGTATCGCAGTCGCATTGGTAAATGACAAAACAATTAATAGTATAATACATGGGACCGGGAGCTTGCGGTGAAAATAAAAGGTAGTCTGCGAATCGTAACTGCCCTTTTTCATGCATGTTCACTGCATTCCTCTATTCCATTGAGATTATGTGCGATGCTAGCCGTTGATATTTCTCAGACTTAGACTTCTCCACAATTGGGTTGGTTCATTTCCCGTGGTTCCGGCCTTGCGTCTGTGCGCCGACACTGAGAAGGTGTGTTGTAGTTTGCAGTGAATTGCAGTTGATATCTACCCTCGCTAGAGTTCGACGTTGCGCTCCACGTGGTATGCTTCTTTCAAACTATAACCCTATGTATGTATATATATATTTTGCTGTAGTGACACTATGATTCACTGACGTGCTGAGGTGTCACGATAAATGATGGGTGAAATGAGCTTTGATATATGGCATTGGCGCGCTTAACGTTGCATTGCCGTATCAGTTCCGGGATTTTACTGATTTTTTTCTTCAGCTTTGATGACACAATGCTCCATTCACATGGTCGGGTGCTATGGATAATCACGGGCGACATGATTCCTGCATGGTTTATACTCATGACCGAGCCCAAATAACACGCTCTCAAGGACGTTCAAATTGTGTTCCATTTTGGACGTCCGATGTACACGGATGACCGCCTTTTCTGCGCTCAGTAAAGGTGTCGTTTCATCACCACACATGCAGCATTTGAAGGATATTGGATTAACGTTATAGGTATGCTTTCCTCAAGTATATCTATGGTATCCAACTGACAATGGCTTGTACCAATGATTCGCACAACCGACGCTCGATGATGCCAAAGTAGTCGCACATAGCGAGTCGATTCCTGATACAGCTGGAATAGTCTCCAATACCTTCCACACGTTATCCGATCTTTCCCCTCATAAACCAGAGGGGAATATATTTGAATTCTTCAACGAATCGGTCATGAGAGGCAACCCAGTCCAAGGGGTCTCCAGAAAACTCTGGCTCGAACGATAGAGGGAGGATGGCTCAATTTCGAAGGTCACTCCATGGGTGAGAGGTGTGGATTGGAAAACGTGAAAGAGTTTATCATCGATCCCATGAGAAAGGAATTCGGTGCAGGGAGTATTAGGGAGGGAGAATAGTAAACTATTGAGTATGAGATGACTGCGGATATGATGAAGGTTTACGTGGAATGACAATTAACACACGCTTCTCAACCAGACCATTCGATAAAAGGGAAGATTTAACCAAATTATTTGGCTCCCTAATCTTCTCTGACCCCTTGCCACGGGAGCAGGTCTTTACTTAGATTGGATGCAATGTAAGTGATGAAAAAGCGTATCCTATACGTTAATTGCATATTGGAAGAGGCCTGAAAAAGAACATTCATAGAATCCTTTTCTTTTCTTTGAAATATTCAATTCTCGTCCTATATGAGTTCACATAGTTCAAGGAACGCTTGAATTGAACTGTTTTTGTTCGCTTTAAATGTCGCATATGTAATACAACGCTCCCACGGAATTTCATGGAACGCTGGCAGTACCTTAAATTAAACGTTCTTTGAACACGTTCGGGTGGAACTTGGGTGGTAGTCTCTGAAGATCGTGGTGACTCCTTCCACGACAACAGAGCATTTCGTTTCCTCCGGTTTGCAGCAGGTTTTCCTGCATCTAGTATTACGTAAGAGTAATCGAGAAAGGATCAGCGGAATTAAATGCACAGACAAGGAGTCTCCAGGGCCAATATAAATGAAATGTTGATTGTAAACGGACGACAACGAACCGTGTCCTTCCTATTCTCAGAGAAATGAGAACGGGAGGGCAAAGTCGAAAGGGCATCGCCCATCCTTAACACCCATTCGTTGAGTCAAAGAGACCAAAATTGGCATTTCGGTAGGGGGCTACCATCAATATCCTTTCCTAGTATTAAAGGTAGAACCAAAAAAATGCACTCCGAGAAAGGGCTATGTCCTTAGACTAAAATCATTATTTGTTTTGGAAAATGAGTCGCTCATTATGAGGTATTAGGACGCCAAAATGTGGAGATTGATGGGGTGGCCGCGCCTTGTTTAAGAAAAAACTCTCTCCAACTTTTGCGGATACGATCGAAATCCAGTATGTGTATTTTTATTATCACACCCGACTTATTGGCCCACCACATTCATATACTTGCATTTCAGCAATTGATTCAGCAAGAGCAACTTCCTTATACAGGTGTTTTTTCGAGTTATGTCGCAATTTCTTTATTGTTGCCATGAGATTCCCCTACAAACCTCCGCTTTACAGTATAGCTAGTTTCACTTCGCCACGAATCTCATCATTAGCACACCAACACCTATTGCATGTTGATGATGATGAATGGATTATTTCAAATGGGAGGAGTAATGCAAAAGCAAATCGATATCCCGCGTCGGGGTAACAAAAGAAAACAAAGCAGATGAGAGCTTGATGTTATGGTCACACAGAGGGCACCAAAACGGAAGAAAGGCGATAAAAACTTAAAAGGGTAAAAATATAAACTTTGCAAACATGGGGAATCGATGCTGGATACGTCACACAACTTTTTTTAGTAACCTGATCACACTGGGAACTTAAGACGCTGCGGTATGTGTTAAATTCCTCGGTAGTTATACCGTGGCTCAATACCGCGGTATTCCGGTGATACCGGCGAGAAGCGGGGGGGGGGGGGTTTGCATCAGATACGAACTCGCAGGAAAAGCCCCAAGAAGAGAGGGAGTCCTTCTATTTTGTGATATCGTCAAACTAGTCGCACTTGCGTACTTATGCCATTCGATTGAACGGCAAGGGAATTCGTTCGTTCCAACCGAAAGGGATGGATTCTGTAGGCATACATGGGATTACTACTGCGATTTTAAAGGTGCTAGAAGGACTCAACTTATGGAGCTCGGAAAAAAAACATTAGGGAAGAGTAACCATTTTATATTTGAGCATGGTCGCACGTTTCATACGTTTCAAAATACCTCCAAACACAAGAGGTTGCTTTAGGTTTGACGACGATGTCGGTGTCTACAATATTGTCGTATCCTACTGGTACATCCTCAGAATACATGGCACATAGAGCAGAGGGCACAGTCAAGGCGTAAGTCGAACCCAGAAATGATGGATATTGGTCCTTGAGTCCTGATTAAATACACTCCGGTGACTTCCAGGAAGGCTTCGGTTTGCCCACCCAGGAGGTGGGCGTCGCCGTGGATGGAGACGGGGAGGATGGTTCACAATTTTATTTTCAGAAATGGCTCTTCAGGTATGGCGCCGCGGCTGGGGTATGATGAAAGGCGGTATTCCACGGTTTTCATACTGTGGCGATAATACTGAAAAATGTAGAAGGGGTCGGTATGCTTATCATGAGAACCAAATGCTGCGATATGATGAAAATCTCCGTATACCGCATTGCCCTGCTATTCATTCTAAATTATCCACTAAAAAATTGCCTGTATCCGAGATCATGGCTTAGATAACTCCGCCTAGAAGTCTCTGATGTCAATGTAACTTCCAACAACGAATCTCAACGATCGTCAAAGCTGTGATCAATTTCTTTACTCAAGCGCCAGGGATGTAGACGTACCTGCCTCCTTTGCCCTTTCCTTTCTCTGCTTCCTTAAGCACAGACAAAATGTGCCTTTCAGGGGGATGGCCGGGACGAGGAAACTTGGAGATTTCAATGGAATTCACTTGATTTGTAAGTTTCATACGTTTCACATATTTTCTCGGCAAGAAGAAATGCTTCGTTCAAGACCTGGAGCCTTTCTTTCAAGCCGGTCCTTCTCTCTTGGAGTTCCACGTTGATGAGGAGCCGGATGTAATCCATGACTGTCATGGCCGAGGATTTCGTGCTGTGTTCACTGAGCCGAAGCAACGAATCGTTCAGATCTGTCAAAGTTTTCGATAGCGTTTGCTGAACCTCGCGGAGTTTTCCCTGTATCTTTGGAGACAAATTTTTCCAGATTTTTGACAGGGAACCCTCCTGCTTCTGTATTTCTACGAGTTCCTCGAAACCTGAAAAAAAAACATACGGAAGGCTTCAAGTTCCCAGAAAACGAAAGCTCTTATGACTTTGGATAACGATTGGAGTCCTGACTCTTTTGAAGTTGAAGCTTGAGTTTGGTGACTCTATCTTCCAGAGCATCTTGTTCCGCCATGACCTCACTGGTCAATGCCAGGCTGACTGGTCTGATCGTAGACAGACTGGTGCACAACTTCCCGAATCCCCGCACTCCCATATCCCAATAGAGTTTGATGACGCTTGTGTCCTCTATTGGTTTATTGGCGGAATAAAGAGCAGAATTGTTCACCTGAAAATAACCTCGATGAGCAATGTTCTCCGCCTTGATGGCCTCTAAGGCTGGCGGTTCACTACAGTCGGAGAAGGTGAAGATGACGTAGAAATTGTCAGTGACATCTTTTCCGAACATCTTTATGCAGGAATGATAGACGTATTTTTCAGCAGGAGTCAGCCTCGCCGGGGCAGCCGGGACGACGATCCCAACCACACATATCTCTTTCATACTGTTGACTTTGAAAAAGGCCCGAATCTGCTTGGGGATGAAGGCATCAGTGTCCATGCCTCCCGTATCCCCAAAACCAGGTGTGTCCACAATGGTAATGATCCCGTGTTCTGAACTCTCAATCGTGTATCCCGTGATCCATTTCGTTTGACTTGCATGCCTCTCTTCCCCGCTAACTGCGGATGTCATGTCGATCTCGTATCGTATACCATCCTCCCATTTCACGCCCATCAGGAAATTCACCAACCCGTTCACCATCGTGCTTTTTCCTGTGTGGAAATGCCCATTCTGAAAGGTTCAATTCACTAAGGTGCCTGGAACAAATCGGTTTTCGACTGACCTGATCCAGTGGCTCCAACAAGAATCAAGACCCGGCCAAAACCATCTCGAGGTTCCCAAGAATTGTTCAAAATAAACCAGTTTATTTTGTGTCTGTCATCTCGAGAGAGTTCTCTCATAGGGAGGATTATATTCTTTGGCACCTGCAGTTCTGCATAATTCCTCCACCTAATGTTGTTAAAGAGTTCAAAAAGTACCAATAATATTGATATATTTCTACATAGCGCTTCAAAGAAAGCTGTGAGTGACCTGTTTTGTTTTTCGGTTTTAACAATATTTAATGGTATTTTCAGTGAATTTATTCCACCGGTCAAATGTTCAAACTCTGCATGCGAAGTATATATTGGAGGATATGCGCCCGAATTTGAAGGGAAGAGGCCCATTGTGTGACTGCACCGGCAAAAAAATTAAGAATAAAATTTCTCTGGACATCCCTGCTAATGCATTCGCCTCAGTTGGTGGACTGAGACGTTGAAGGGGGGGGGGGCACACGGTTTTAAGCCAATTCTATTATCCACGGTGCCATTGAATGCAAAAGGAGAAATCTGGAAAAATTGGGCGCCTCTTTCAACAGTCCTTTGACTCAGAAATAATTATCTTAAACAAATTTGCATCAAATAAATTAAAAAGTAAGGTTAGGCCTATTGCTACAATGTGACACAAAAGTCACTTGACAAATGTGAAAAAACAATTTTGTCTAAAATCTTTGTTTTTGCTTGGTAGGTGCGGACTAAATACACTTAACAGAAACTCATACCAGCCATGCTGACACCAGAACAACGAGCTTGCTTTTTGCGCACTTTGCTCTCACGGTCCGCCAGAAACTGAATAGCATGTTTGGTAATCAGTGGATTGGACGGGTTGACACCAGGACGACTCAACACGTTGTTCTGGTGTGAGCATGGTTGGTATGTGTTTCCGTTAAGCGTATTCAAGTCAGCACTTGCCAAGCAAAAACAAATATTTTAGGCAAAGTGGTTTTTTTCTCATTTGTCAAGTGACTTTTGTGTCACACTGTATAATGTGGTCCCTCGGAGTAAAGCATCATCAATGAAGCAATTATGCAATGGCGACTGTTGCATGCTTGTGTTCCAGAACGCGGGAACTATTTCGAAAATAAGTGGTGACTGAAGTATGAATTTCTTTCAAATTCGGTAAAAATTTCGCATTTGTCTTAGTTTAAATTACGCCGTAAAATTGGGCGTTCTAAAAAAAGGGAAACTGAGATAAACCATTATTTCAGCTGCATTGAAAACAAGTTGGTACAATAAGAAAAAGAAATAAAATCATATCCTCATTTAAAAGACAAAAGGAAATAGATTCTGCAGCATAACCCTTGCATTTTATAACAGCTTTGTTAAACGGATATGCCAGGGACTCCTCCTACAAATTAAAAAAAAAACCGAGTGACGGGTCTCACTTGTCTGGGGAACGATCCGATCTGCAAATTTTTTCAGCTTTTATCTTTGCTTCATTCAGGACCCGGAGTCTTTCTTTGTAGCCAATCGTTCTCTCTTGGAGTTCTGCGTCGATGTGGAGCTGGATATAATCCAACACCGTCATTGTCAAGGATTTCATGCTGCTTCTGTCGAGTTGCAGCAACGAATCGTTTAAATTATTCAAAGTTCTCGTCAGGGTCAACTGTGCCTCGCAGAGTATCCTTTTGATACTAGACCTGGATGGGTTCAGCAAAAGCTCCTTCTCCTTTTTCTCCAGGGCAATCAATTCCTGAAAACCTGTTAATTAAGCACGCAATACAATTTCCAAGAAAAGGAAACTTTCTTGATTCATAAATTAAAGAAATCCTGACTGTTTTCAAGCTGAATCTTGAGTTCTGTGACTTTACCATCCAGAACATCTTGTTCCGCCATGACCTCACTGGTCAATGCCAGGTTGACTGGTGTGATCGTAGACAAACTGGTGCACAACTTCCGAAATCCCCGTACTCCCATATCCCAATACAGCTTGGCGAAGCTGGTGACCTCTTTCGGCTTATTAGCGGAATATAGGCCGGAATTGTTAACTTGGAAGTAGTCCCGATATGGAATGTTCTCCACCTTGATAGCCTCTAAGGCTGGCGGTTCACTGCAGTCCGAGAAGGTGAAGACGACGTAGAGATTTTCGGTCACATCGTTCCCAAACATCTTCAGACAAGAATGATAGACGTATTTTTCAGCTGGGGTTAACCTCGCCTGGGCTGCCGAGACGACGAGCCCTACCCCGCTTAGCTTCTTCATGTCATTAATCCTGAAGAAGGTTCGAATCTGCTCTGGGATGAAGGCATCGATGTCCATGCCTCCCGTGTCCGCAAAGCCGGGCGTGTCCACGATGGTGATGATCCCGTGTTCTGGATTATTGATGGTGTATCCTGAGACCCATTTAGTTTGACTCGAATAACTCTCTTCCCCGCTAATTGCGAATGCCATATCGATCTTGAATCGCCTATCTTCATCCCATTTCACGCCAAGCAGGTAATTCACCAACCCGTTCACCATCGTACTTTTCCCTGGTTTGGATACATCGGCGAAATCAAGTNTGTCTGCATCGGTCATTGCTTTCTCACTCAGGGTTATTCAGCGCATAGGGCCAAAATATGACTTCACTTGTCGTGGATTCTCATTTCATCCAAGAAGTAGGCGTTACCAAAACGTTTATCTAAAAGAGGCGCCCAATTCTATTATCCACGGTGCCATTGAATGCAAAAGGAGAAATTTGGAAAAATTGGGCGCCTCTTTCAACAGTCCTTTGACTCATAAATAATTATCTTAAACAAATTTGCATCAAATAAATTAAAAAGTAAGGTTAAGCCTATTGCTACAATGTGACACAAAAGTCACTTGACAAATGTGAAAAAAACAATTTTGTCTAAAATCTTTGTTTTTACTTGGTAGGTGCGGCCTAAATACACTTAACAGAAACTCATACCAGCCATGCTGACACCAGAATAACGAGTTTGCTCTTTGCGCACTTTGCTCTCACGGTCCGTCAGAAACTGAATAGCATGTTTGGTAATCAGTGGATTGGACGGGTTGACACCAGGACGACGCAAGACGTTGTTCTGGTGTCTCGTACCAACCATACACAAAGGCAATTCGCATAAGTTCAGTCGTGAACGGTTCGTTTTTGTTTATAAAATCCGTTTCACCAAAAAAAGAGTAAACAGTTCACTGAAAACACAGTGTGACATATTACAGGTCCCTCGGAGTAAAGCATCATCAATGAAGCAATTATGCAATGGCGACTGTTGCATGCTTGTGTTCCAGAACGCGGGAACTATAAGCTTTTATTCACCACTGACTTCATACTTAAAGAAAGTTTAAGCCATTTTTAAAGCGTAAACAGAATCAAATTTAATGCGGCATTTTAACCCGCAAGATTTTTTTCCCTTTGACTCTATTTGGTAAATTTCAGCTGCATTGAAAACAAGTTGGTACAATAAGAAAAAGAAATAAAATCATATCCTCATTTAAAAGACAAAAGGAAATAGATTCTGCAGCATAACCCTTGCATTTTATAACAGCTTTGTTAAACGGATATGCCAGGGACTCCTCCTACAAATTAAAAAAAAAACCGAGTGACGGGTCTCACTTGTCTGGGGAACGATCCGATCTGCAAATTTTTTCAGCTTTTATCTTTGCTTCATTCAGGACCCGGAGTCTTTCTTTGTAGCCAATCGTTCTCTCTTGGAGTTCTGCGTCGATGTGGAGCTGGATATAATCCAACACCGTCATTGTCAAGGATTTCATGCTGCTTCTGTCGAGTTGCAGCAACGAATCGTTTAAATTATTCAAAGTTCTCGTCAGGGTCAACTGTGCCTCGCAGAGTATCCTTTTGATACTAGACCTGGATGGGTTCAGCAAAAGCTCCTTCTCCTTTTTCTCCAGGGCAATCAATTCCTGAAAACCTGTTAATTAAGCACGCAATACAATTTCCAAGAAAAGGAAACTTTCTTGATTCATAAATTAAAGAAATCCTGACTGTTTTCAAGCTGAATCTTGAGTTCTGTGACTTTACCATCCAGAACATCTTGTTCCGCCATGACCTCACTGGTCAATGCCAGGTTGACTGGTGTGATCGTAGACAAACTGGTGCACAACTTCCGAAATCCCCGTACTCCCATATCCCAATACAGCTTGGCGAAGCTGGTGACCTCTTTCGGCTTATTAGCGGAATATAGGCCGGAATTGTTAACTTGGAAGTAGTCCCGATATGGAATGTTCTCCACCTTGATAGCCTCTAAGGCTGGCGGTTCACTGCAGTCCGAGAAGGTGAAGACGACGTAGAGATTTTCGGTCACATCGTTCCCAAACATCTTCAGACAAGAATGATAGACGTATTTTTCAGCTGGGGTTAACCTCGCCTGGGCTGCCGAGACGACGAGCCCTACCCCGCTTAGCTTCTTCATGTCATTAATCCTGAAGAAGGTTCGAATCTGCTCTGGGATGAAGGCATCGATGTCCATGCCTCCCGTGTCCGCAAAGCCGGGCGTGTCCACGATGGTGATGATCCCGTGTTCTGGATTATTGATGGTGTATCCTGAGACCCATTTAGTTTGACTCGAATAACTCTCTTCCCCGCTAATTGCGAATGCCATATCGATCTTGAATCGCCTATCTTCATCCCATTTCACGCCAAGCAGGTAATTCACCAACCCGTTCACCATCGTACTTTTCCCTGGTTTGGATACATCGGCGAAATCAAGTAGCGCCATGCAACTAGAAACTTTCCCTATGATGTAGTGGTTGAACTGACCCGATCCGCTGGCTCCAACAAGGATCAAGACACGGCCGAAGCCATCTTGTGGTCCACAGGAGTTGTTCAAAACATATCGAG